GTTAGATATTGTGTTTTATTTGAACGTAGCTTTATTCTTGGTAATCCGACACTCATTAATTGTCAAATTTTGATCCAAATACATCATTCAATCAATTCGGAATAATTTCTTCAAGTTGCAGTTAGCTGCAAGTGTCCCCCACTGTCATCTCATCATCACATTTGATAAAGTGCTGTTCAAGTTGACGTTTCTTCCTCTCTCTTCCTCTCTACCATTATCTGACTGTAAAAGTATTATTCATATAAACCTCTGGGGTAAACTAAACTAAACATTTGGAAACGGTCCAAGTTTAATCATATTTTGCAGAGTGGGACATAGACTGTTCGACAGTATTTACGATATTCTTGCTGTTACCATCTGAATTTCCCAACTAAAACCTGGTTGACTCAACTGTCTTTCTGTGCAGTAGCATTTCCTTTTTTCCCAACGATCAAAAATCTGCGGCCATTTTGAACTTCGACTGCTTATCCTAAACTTCCGATTCTTTTTGGTTTGCCAAATATATTTTTGCAACAGAACGATTAGGAGCTGATGGAAATGTCGATCAAATTTAAGGATGACTGTAGTGCTTGTCAAATCTATGCTATCGCCCCACAAAAGTATCATTCCGCATTCATGCAAATCAAATGATAATATGTAATCCATCTCAGTCTACGCTTCTATCATATTCAGATGACTGGCTGGGAAGAAAACCGACCACCTCACTCGATATTTTCGCTCTTTCTCGGAAGATTTCTCGACATCGACCTCAAACTCTTCGATGCTTTTCTCCCGACCTGCCTCATCCCCCTAAACCAGTTTCCCTTTTCGAATACGGTGACGCGAATATCAGCTGCTCCTCGTCATCCAGTAATTGTTCAACAATTAACTCGTTAATCCAATTAATTTTTGCTGTTCGGAATAATAGAAGAGGCAAGAACAAATAAAACACGGCATATCCGCTTTCAACTGTCCTTGCAAAACCTGTGTGCCCCATGGCAGGCTCGAACTGCCGACCTTCGCATCTCCCAGTAGCACTTATAAGTACGACGCGCTAACCAACTGCGCCAATGGGGCCCGGTCGATCACTCTTCATTACAATATATCAGACATTAAATCGATTTCAATGTTATTGAATAATTATATTAAATTCACGCAAGGAATGTTTTAAATTGCTGGAATTCTCAAGGGAAGAGGAAAGATCTGTAAGTATGAAACTAGTCTTGTAATGGTTTCTATCTCGTTGATTTATGGATAAACGATCTATTCTTGAGACATTAATTTCGTCAATACAGTTGCTTTAGAAAGTGATGCCAGACTTTCAGAGACTGAAAATGAAGCGACATTCTGAAGGAAAAACTACGTAGCCATTTTCAGACCATTAACTTTCATAGCTTCTAACTTCCACAGCTGTTTGCTAATAAAGAAACCCAATATAAATTGAAATGACAAGTGAAAGCATGTTATCATAGCATTACACTTGCGTCCTCGATTAGGAGACTTGTCACAACATTTCAAAATCCTCTCAAATTTTTAGACATTCTAACATTGCATGCAATATGGAGTGCAGTAGTAACCTGTCTTCAACTTGAGTACTATTTACGCTTGCAAGCAAAAAACTAAAGACCATCAATAAAGGGGAAGACGAAACTCGGATAAAACATTGAATGACACATCTCATCTTCTCATCATTTGGAAAAGTGTTCTCAGTTGCCTGTGTGATTGTGTTCTTTATTTGTCTCTAATTTATATTTAACAATCCATGCAATCACAAACTTCAGTAGTTAGACTTGAATTTTCTGTTTCTGGATTCTACTTACTTTGTTCTGGCTCCCAATATTTGCATACATACTGAGTTGGAAAGTCTGAGTACTGAATTCATAATACTGATGTGGAACCATGAACTAATTTTCAGTCTTTTACTACCTTTGACCGGAAATTTAGTTGATAATAAGGCGTTTCCATAAAAATGATATCAGTCAGCTACCTTTTCAGTATTGCTAAATTTATTGCAAATCTACTTATCAAATTATTAAATAAATATGCAGGGGGACTAAACTAAGGCATTAAACCATTGAGGTTTCATTTCAAGCGGTGGCTTCATAGTAACATCCTCAGACTGTAGTTAGTGATGACAGTGATCGGAATAGCTTCAATTATGTTACATTCTGTCAGCATCTGTTCCACGCAGTATTGTCAAGGACAGTTAGAAATGAATCAAAAGCATCTTTGGTTTAAAGCAGTATAGATTTCTGCATATCTAAAATATCAGTTTTAATTGTTTGAAATGTCACAGTTTGAAATTAAATCGCACAAAAATATCAGTCTTCTTGCTTATGAACTTGAAATCACAACGATAAATGCGCGCAGAATGATGCATTTCTTTCTTTACTCTTATTTACTCTCATTTTCTCTTACTCTCTTTGTGCATCGCTCCCTATATATAATTAAAAAAATTTTTTAAGGCAGTTTATAACTCTCATTGGAAAACTGAAGTCGAAAAAAGTTTTTTTTTTCCTGACGAAAGGAACTTTGGAGTTTTGCTTTTTCGGATCATTGCGCTAAAAAATTCATTAACATGAAAAATGGTTTACAGCATTACAAACAGATGCAATGTACCGGACAAACAACAAGTTCCCGTTTTTGTAGTATGAGTCGAATACTGACTGGCAAAGGATCTGCTGTTGCCAATGTGAACTGTCCACCACACTAAGTTTTTTTTTTTTTCATGCATTTATTGCTTATATTAGTAGAATAAAGGATTGGGAAAGTACTAATTCAGTTAATCAACTTCAGGAAAAGTTAATGAATTTCAGCGAAGAACTTAGTTGTCAATTCATGACGCCAAAAGAAAATGGACACTCATGTCAATATTATAAACAATCAGAAACAGGAGAACTCACGCAGTTCTGCTGCTGTTTCGGGTAAGGAAATTTGTGGTATTTAGCAGTGATCATTCAGGAAGCACTGTCGTCTCAAAATTACTTCTCATCAAAGATAGTTTATAAAGTGATTTGAGATATTTTTCTCAATGAGCTTTACTGTAAACAGTTTTTGAAATCAATTCACTCTCTAACTTCTTCCTTAGTTTATGATTAAGGGAAATCTAGGACAGTAATGAATCAGGCAGATTTAGATAAGGCAGTTGAAAATTTGAAAGTTAGGTATAAAAGAAGTGAATTTTTGTTCCTTTTCACTTCATATATATATATATATATATTTCCTTAATACTGGCATATATTATAGCAAAAAAAATCTTGTAAAATATCACTCTCATTTCTTTCAGAAAAAATTGCTACCAATCGGTGAATCGCTTGGAATATGAGCAGCGTTTATTAAATAGCTTGGCTGTGGATTCGATAGCGGCTATATTCTTTGCATTTACGTTCTTTATCAATATTTTAACAATTAAATTGTTCTATAACGACTTAACTAACGCTGTCGTATTCATCTATCAGATGCATTCTGGTATAACATCATCTAAACTTCGACGATCAGAGCACAACTTACTGCAAAACGTGGAAAAAGTTGGCTTCTTCTCTTCTTTCTCAATTTTCAACTCCTTATGATAGACTCATAATGCACATAATGCACTTGTACATTTCACTGACCTTAATGAAAGTTCAAAAAGCAACCTTTAAATGAGAAATGCAAAGTATTAGCCCAATTTGCAATCATAAGGAATATTGAATCATTTTCCTAATAGCTGTGTATAAGATTAAAATATAGCAGAATTACTGAGTGTTTGTGGTATCAACTGTAAGATCATTTGCTTAGGTTCAGATCATCTGCGTTTCATTAGCAGCTCCTCAAATTTCAACTGAATAATGGAACAACACAAATGACTGCACGCTTTTTGGCGTCAATTTAACAAATCCGCGCGTGGAAAAACTGTTGTATATCGATTCCGATTGAAAGAACATATCGTATTGTATAAGCCAAGCAAAGACTTCGGAATAACACTAAAATTTAATGTATAGTCCAACATTCCCGTAATGAAAGTGTCATGTTTTTGCAGAAAGTTATCTCGTGGAATACATGTACACTGATCTCCACCAAAATGATAACGTTATTAATGCAACCGAGGAATGAACAAAATATCAGCGATGCCAAGTTTAGGCACAAAAAACTCAAAGTAAATGAATGTTCTCAAGAAGGAAAGCAATATATGGGCAGTAAGGCCATGGCAAAACAATACGATAGGAATGAACGACTATTTCGACAGGTCTACTTCATACTGGCTTTCTTGCACATTCCGATCATTGCAGATAGAACACTGATTAAATTTGCTCTATTATAGGAATGGTATAGGAATAGTACATTGATGAAAGTTAGTCACTCACATTGGCGTGCTCGAGAATGGAATCAAGCCGGAAAGCAGATGCGTAGAACACTGAAACATCTCTTTGAGCTATGACATTTCTGATTATCTCCCATAATGTTTACCAGATTGCAAAAAAAAGAAAATCAGTATGAATTTTGCAAAATCATTGCATGATCGTACAAACCCACGATATGAATCGTAACATCAAGGCAAACACTTGTAAAACTACACGTACAAATTAACTCAAGGAATTCAAAGATATGTAATCAGCGCGAAATCATTCCAACATCATATTTAGCGTGAAGTCTTCATGTCTTTCCTCTATATAATTGGGTACATCCATAACACATGAACCCAGGATTTACATCTGAGATGTAACAGTTTTTTTAAACAGTTCCAAGGAGGAACAACATCTCTAAGAAGATCACTTAGAGGCTTTTTCCGACATCTCTAAGAAAAGAAAAACATCTCCAAGAGAAAACAACATCTCTAAGAAGATCACTTTGGGAGCTTTTTTTCTCGATAGCAATTATTTCTAAAACTGAAGTTCTATGCCCTTATGTCAACCTGAAATGGAAGAAACATGAAGGATCGGAAGATTCAAAAATTAACTAAAAAACTGTTGCTTTGATCTCAATCTGCAAAACCTTGTACATAACCTGGTGAACTAGTTGGTATCGAAGAAATTAAGGTGTTGAAAGTAGATTTCAAAACATTGCAACTGAAATCTGTTTTCTTAATATTGGCTGCTATTTGAGCAAAATTGTAACAATGAGAACTGCAGAAACACAAGTGCAGTCGGTAGCACTCCACTACCACTATACCACAAACAGTAACGATAACTACAACGACGATTGTTAACAGACCAACTTAAGCGATGACATTCAGTTGCCGATGGATGGGAATGCCTGTTAAATTAACATCTAGTCAACAACCTTAAAATGAGTAACTTTTGAAATCATTTCATTTCAATTTTCCATTGATAAGATTGATACGATTCTCACATAGCAATGGTGAACATGTAATTATTTATCGCATGTTATTAGACAGCAATAAGAATTATTTTTATCTCCCTTGAATCTCTTATGGAGTAGTTATAAGTTTCGGACAACATCACTACCGTATTTTTGAACAGAAGGAAAAATTTTTTGATCGACTGAAAATGATAAAGGCAAAAGTTGAAGAGGTACAAAAGCGGTGACATCAGAAATGTAGAATATTGGCTTCATAATTTTGTAGGACAAAGAATTAAAATAGACGGAATTGAGATCGTACCAGATGATCATACAAGTGCCTGCAAAAGTTACTGCTTTATAAAAAACCACATGAAGTCATTGAGGAGAGAAGGAATTTGCATAAACAACCTGACAGGTATTGCAAAGGTACATGAAAAACTCGTAACATTGAGTCCATTAACCTAATATGAGCAGAACCACCATGCAAACATGGACTTATTGTGAATGTCTTAAAATACGTGTGAATTGTAATCAAAAGATTTTTGCTAATCTTCTCAGCAAATGCAGAAACTGCTTAATTTCCCACGGTGGATTAAGTCAATGAAGGTTATAATAGATAAAAAGAAAGATACTGAAAGCACTGCAGATCATCACCATATCTATTTCATTTCATATGTTCATAAACTGTTTGTAATCAATAATCAATTTTTGTAATCAATTTGTAATCAAATGGTATATTAGGAGTTATAACATCGGGTTAAAAGGTTTGATGAACAACGAGTAAAACTGTGGCCAACGAAAAGACCAGTCATTCTGTTTGTCATTATAGAGGATGAAAGCAACTTCAAATGACTAGCAGTTACTGAGACAATAAGCATGTCAACAACAACGGACTTTCCACTTCGCCACTGTTGATCCATATTCAGTAAATGACATTTAAGGTGAAATCACGCTATGAGATAAATGAATCAAGTGATTAGCTTAAACAATAAAGGTGGCCGACTTTACCAATTTCGAGTTCTCCTAGTTCTATTACTTCGACACTAGGTGGTAAGTGAAGTCATCAAGGCAACTGAAGCAAGTCAGAGAATTATGTACTTAACAAAAACCCGTCTTACTTTTGCTACGGGCTAGTAATATCATTTTGTCATCATTTGGCTCATACGCATGTTAATTTTCAAAATGATGGCAACTAAAATGACACTTCACTCCTTTCACTCACTTATAAGAAAAAACAAACTCAAGACATTCGAACAAGTGGCAGCTGGTTATATTTTATCATTGATTGAAAATTTCCTGTTTACACAATCTTGCCATCTCTTTTAAATTTTAAATGTAACAGAATTTTTAGAAACTTGACTTATATTTACTTTTTTTCAAAGTTTCGAACACATTATCCAATACAAATTGCTCGATAATTGTACGAACAACAGACAACCAACCAAAAAGGTAATACCATGATATATAAAAACAAGGCAGAATATATCACAGATTTTCAATAATAAAGTGATTTGAACAACAAAAACCTCGTCCAAATGGAACCAATACTACAGGGTAAAAAAAGAAAAAATAAAAAGGTTAAAACAGAAAAGAAGAGAAATCAACATGGACAAAAACATATAAAACAAAGCCTTTTACTTAACAAGAGAAAACTTTTGTCGGATTATAAAAAAACTGCCAAAACAAAGGTTTGTTATTGTATTACTTTAAAGGCATATATCTGACAGTTACCAAACTGACGAAGAAGTGAAATGAATGCCAAATCATGTAAAAAGATGAAGGATCACAGTTAAGAAAGAAAATGAAATTCTTGAATAAAGAAAAAATATCACAAAACATGAGAGGAACAAAGACATCTTTAAAAAAAAGTGATAATTATTACCCAAAATACTGTTTGCAAAACTAACACATCTCCATAAATCATTGCATTCGCAATTGATAATCACCATTTTGTGTGACGTAACGAACCCATGGCAACGCTTGATATCCACTCTTTTCGATAATTTTCAAGTAACGAACCTACATAGTTGTCGTAGAACATGAAGTGAAAAATGAACTAAAATTAAAATAATCGCAGCAATTTTGGCGGAAATACCAGAAACCCACCTGAAGGCCACTCGTTGTAAAGTACGGAATCTCAAACTTCACTGAAATTGGTGGTTTTCTCTCCGTCTCATCACCTACAATCGAGGGCAAACAAAAGTGCGCACGCATTAGATATTCACGGCCACCTGAAAATCAATCATTTTTTGTTAATCATATGATGAGATCAAAAAGTGCTATATTTTTTGGAAAATAGCATTCCAAAAAAAATTTGAGATAGGAAATTGCAAATGTTAACCGGGGAAACTCCGGATCATCCAAACAAACGCACTAAGCTCAGGGACATATTTTACTGAACCAACAGAAGTTTTAAATTTAGGCGAATCTGCATCACTCGGGACAGGTATAATGATCTCCACATGATTTGCAATAGATTGATATTTGAACTGAGATTTTGCCTGGAAATGGATGTTTTTAACGCAAAACCCTTGGTGGTAATGAATCATTGTGCAAAAAGTATGATTATGTCAACGCGCTATTACATAAAACCTAAATCACACAGATAAGAGGCAACAAAATAAATTACCTTAACCATATATTCAACTCTAGAATGAGCATGCTTCTCCATGCAAGATTCCACCCAAATCAACGGCTTTACAGTTGTTGTTAAACGATAACTCATTAGTTCAAACTCCCCATCCGGTGGTACGAAACTTATGGTACGGTCATTTTCAAATCGAGAAAGTCGTACACACTGATGGAATTTCACATCTTCTAACTCTACAGCTTTACCTCGTCCTCCTGAAGATCAGTTTCAAATTTCCAACAAGTCAAACATTGTAAGTGTGTGCAGTTTGATGATAGTTCTGAAATTATTGATTAGTTGCAAAAGCAATTTGGATAGCGAAATAAATTTTGGATGAAAAACACACACTTGAGAATGCTTGGAAGAGAACTTTGTCGTTAAGCCCAAGACGTAATTCAGGCATTCCGGAGAGCAGTACCCGCATCTTAATCGTCCCAACGATTTCACTTCGCAATACGGAACCAGAAGCATTGACCTATGAAAAACATTATATAAAAGTCAAACAAAATGTAAAGCAAAACCTTTCGCTTATATCAGAAAGCCTCAATTTCCAACATCAGTTCTAAGCTCACCAACATATTTACTGATTCGATGACATCAAGAAAAACTTCATTTTTACGATATTTCAAACCATCCGAGCGCCAAGAGACTGCATTTGTTACTGCCATTGGGGGTCTCGGGGCAACATCGAGCATATATCGTTCTTGTGTGATGTACCTAAACAACCTGGCTATTGGTGATTGGAATAGAACTCCGTATTCATTCATTTTATAATATACTAAATATTAGTAAATAACTACTCTTGCAAAATGCGGCTCTCCGTTGTTTGAGGATAACCGAAATCCATCATCTCATCCAAAAGTTCATAGAAAACGACAAAATTATCTCGTACTGATTCCTCTTCAAAATCCTTAAAGGAAAATCAAATAAACGAATGTATCGAAATGTTCAGTGGATATGCGACATAACATTCACACGAACTATCATAGTCAAATAAAAAAGCAAACCTTGAAATATTCACTGAATACTTCAATACATTTATACAGGAAAGCGAACATCATTGAGACATTAGCATTTTTCTTTGATATTGAAACAACTAAAAACAAGAAGATCAATGGTAAACGTAAAGTTAGAGGACAAGAAATAAATATTGTGCATGGTATTTTTTCGCCAGTTGAAGCTAATATGAATGTTTCATATACATATTGTTGTTGTATCACAATGAACATTACAAATCGTATATTGTGACTTTTCAAAACTGACGGATGATAATACTTTGAAATATAATGGAGTTATATTCAAAAATTTTCCTGTCAGAAAGTCGTAAAGGAAAGCAAAACCTACGAAATACGTTAAGATGCTTGACGTAAATATAACTGATATCATGCTTCTGCAACACTGGGGCTAAAAGACCCTCATCCTCTTTCTCCATCAGCAGGGGCATGAAGGAATCAATTACGGACATTTCCACGTCCCCTCGATAATTCCGTGACATTATCACCTACATGAAGCAATTTTTCTTCATAAGTATAAAAGAAGACGCTGTTATCTCCCACATATTATTATAAGTTCGAATAAAAATCTGGAAATTCATTAATTCTACCGTACCATTCCAAATACTTTCGTATTCAGTGACTCTGACAAAGTTATGTGGAAAAAAAGTTACATTTCCTTTCAAATCCAAAATAAAAATAGCTGAACAGGACATAATTGTTTCTCCGTCGATAATCGTATCGTCCCTATATTGATAATATCATCAAACAATGTATGGTAATCTGAAATACCTAAAGGAAAGCCAAATTACATCGAAGATGGTACTGAAAGTAAACTCAGCAGATTATGGCCCAAAATTACGGCTTTCGGGCAGCTTCATTATCACCGATACTCCTCAACTTGAAACGCCTCACTCATTTTTTCTAGTATCTTGAAGCATACTGCAACGCTTAAAACCCCACTGCATCGTACGATAACTATAAGCGCGGTATTGAACCGTGAACTTTAATTCACCACGCCTAAATCCAAACATATTTTTATTAATCGAAACAGCTGGCACAACAATGAGAAAATTCTGCCGACGAGGAAAAGTTTATCTCTTCATCTAATGATGAAATTAATATCCAGGACACGATGACAGTCAAGAAGGGTAACCAACACGACCGGAATTCCCACACAGCCACCGCAAAATACCGGTCGGCATGGTAGCGGGGTCTTAAGTGGATGGTCGAGCGATTTTAAGTGTAAATTTCAGTAAGGACGGGATTGATTTCGTTCGCTGCTGCGAGAATGATTCCTGGTATGAATTTCAGTATCCGCACGCTCCAGATTATCAGCATCGTTGTCTCCCCCATTATAAATGAAATATGCATTAAGATGGAGAACTTCATTCTTCGTTTTCCGATATAACATGAATGTGATAATAATAATAGTAGAGGTAGTTGTTATTACTTAACAAAACTCCGTCATCATGCAGCAGAGAAGACGAGGTCATTTTATATTTGCTAACCCAATCATTTTAGATATCTAGAACGGGAACATACGTGCATTGTATATTATAATCGGATAATGAATACAATCAAGAAGAATATGAAGAATTGTGAAGTGAAAAAGGAAGTAGATCAGGACTGTGCACGGCGTCTCTTTATACATCGACAAAAAAATGGGTTTGTTTTCTCCTCAAAATTTAAATATATCCAAGTTGGAAAGAAGAATGGAGACTGGAGATATTGAATGAGATTATCGGTTTGAAAAATAACACTTTTTCGTCTGAGACAATGGGAAGAAAGTTCATGTGCAATTTTTGTGGTTGTTTGATATGAATTTAAATTCGAAGTGATGAAAACTGCAGGATTTCCAAATTGGATATTTTCAGCATGCGGCAAGTGTCATCGCACAAAATCGCAGTCAGTACTTTGGCTTATATACGGAAAATTGTAGGTTTTGGAAAGTACAACAGTGCTCAGTAAGTTTTTTTAGTCACTGCAGATCATTTTAGTAGACTATAGTGAGATCATCTTAAAACGGGTAGCAAAAAGAGGGAGGAAATAAGTTTGGCTGGGTTCGGAATTATTTTTAGTGTATTCCTGACATTTCGTAAATTACGTATTAAAAATATTTAATTATAATAAATTCTTTTCGAAAAATACTTTTCAGAGAACTCATTGAATTGCTGGAAACCGAAAGAAAACGTTTGTTGGAAGCGTTGCCTTATCAGTTTGTTGTTTCAAACATTATATTATGTGTAATCAAGATG